TTGCCTCTCACGGGACATGCGCGCCTGAGGGGCGGGTGGTGGAGGGGGTGTTAAGGGGCGGGTTTGGGTATATAATACTTCTCGCAGAGAACTTTTGCCTGTCGCCTGATTTTTGGGACAGCTCCACACACCATCTTAACACCAACTGGGGAAACTAAACCGACCTTCTTAACCAAATACAACAGCACAGCATTTTTTATGTTGACATGGAGGACCAACTAAAACATTATTTTTGCCATACCTGCTTGAGAACAGACAGTGTCATAAATAAGGTAAAGAAAGTCTTTTTACAACCTCTACGGAATCTTGGACAAATCTGCGATGAGTGCAATAGTTAAGCTCTATTAAATAGAAATTGTTTTTATAGACTTGCAAAAATAGAATCGTATTTTAAAAATCAGAAATTGGCATGATCGGAAAAGGTAAGATTTTTAGACGCATTTTCTCTTGCACGAGCGGTGCGCGCAAATGCATTGGAGATGTTTTTGTCACTCTAAATTGATAACAGCTCTACAGTTTGACAGCGCTGAACTTCTAAATAAGGACTATAAGGCATTGCAAACATTAACCCTATGCATTTCTGCAAAGCTGCTTTGAAACAGTATGTATTTTGAAAAGCGCTTTCCAAATAAAAACGGACTTTATTCTGGATACGCGCGCAGGAGAAAGAAGTTGCGCAAGGGGGCGACAGCAGGTTAAATGAGCTGGATTTAAGGAAATTATATACTGAGTTGTGAGGAATGAGATAGCTGGGTATTTTGAGCAGTCTTGCAACTTGTTGAACGTTGTGTAAGAGTGTAAAGGAGGAGATAAAAGCTCTTGGATAAATTAATCATCTAGCGTTAAGCAGATAATCAAAAACTCGATGCATGCAAGTAGAATTTCAGTGTATTTGAAGAATTGCATTGGCGAATTGAATGCACTGGAGGAACTAATGACAGATACCCACGGACGATGTTGAGGATAATTGATCAGCAGGTCGACCTTAAAGCATCATCTTTACGGTTAAAAAAATGACATGCATAATTGAAAAAGCTGGAGGTCATGCATGCATACAAATTCTCAGAATGTATTAAGAACTGCATAGGAGAAATCAGTGCATTGAAGAAACAAATTACAGTTCCTCAAGATCTGACCAACAACACTGCAATTTAAGTTTAAAATGTTCAGTATTATTAATCAGCAGGCATATAGCTCTTGTTAAAACTGACCAGAAAGAAAAAAAAAAACGTGCATGCACAAATAATGCATTTTATAGCCTACTTTGACAAAATGCCTGTTGTGAACTATAATGCATGCTTCCCAGGTCACGAAGACACGCTTTTCCATACTGTACATTGACATACTGATTTTGACCATGTGATCAGGCAGATAATTGAAAAATCGATGGCCATGCATGCACACACTGAAGGACTGCATTACTGAATTCAATGCTTTGAGGAAGGAAAATGTTTAGTATTAAGTTCAGGTATACATGGGATCTTCATAAAAAAAAGAAAAACAGCAGCTTTATACATTAAAAATGAAATGCACATGTTAAAACTGTCTAAACTAACTAAAACATGTTATCTCCGCAGGTCATAAAGATGTACTGGTCCTTACGAATGCCCATATGCATACTGTTTTTAACCCTGTCTGCCTTCGAAGTGGCTTCAGCTGAAACATTATGCGGCGGAGAGCTGGTGGACGCGCTACAGTTTGTGTGTGAAGACAGAGGTTTCTATTTCAGTACGTACATTTGCACTTCGTATTTTCTTTGCTTTTGCTTAGGAGTTGGAAAGCCTGCCAATTGTATGTCATGAATGACCAGAGTTACGAGCGAAGTCTCGGCAGATTGTGCTGACTGGGTGCATTCTCTCACGATATCTGTGATTGCATATGAAAGGGATGCTAAATAAGCCTCAATGGCCTGGTTGTTTACTTGCACATTCCGTCAGGGAAAGTAATAGTACCCAAGTGGCATTCCATTCACCTCTCCAGAAATGTTCCCAGGCTACACTCAATTGAAAAAAAAAAGTCGTTTGTCCTCTTACACGGCTGGATGGATTGAGACAGCTTCATTACTAGTTTAGCGTAACAGATATTAAGCATTAACATTTAGATACATCTGCTGGTTGTACACTGCACGGAGGGGGTCGAGAGCACAACTTTTTAAATATTTGTCATCTTCCTCTCGTCAGCACTGACAAACAGACAAGGCCTTTGTGTTATTTTGGCCGCAGAAGCCTAACTACCCCGAAAGATCATTATCCAATTTGGGCCAGCGCAGATTTTCCCCCCTCTATCCACCAGATCCACTCTTGTTCAATGTTTCCCATCCTGCAATCAAGAATTCCCTTTCAGATCGTGGCAACTGTGAGAAGCACAAGTCGTTCGCATTATATTTGACTGAAAATCAATTGTTCCTTCCTTTTCCCGGTCCAGCTTTCTCTCCTCCATTACTGTGTCCTGTATCTTCACTCTTTCATGCCAAGTCTGTTTTTCCACCCCTCCCCCTTCCTCTCTTTCATGCTCTCTTTATCTATGCTGAGCTGGCAAAGGACAAGGTCAAAGGATATCCACCATTTACTCATCCAAACAGAAGCAAAGACTTTTGCCCTTCAACTCTTTCGCTGTCTTATTTGTAAGCTTTCGATCTTCTGTTCCTGGGAACGTGCTGCCGGTGAATTCTTCTAAACCGATTTCTAACAGCTCAATTAGATGGTATAACAAGATCAATCCGACCGAGAAAACAAATAAACAGACTCCATTTTATGCCACTAATTTTGGCTTTATTATACACCGCAGATGCGTCCCAGTCAAAACACAATGAATCTGCTTTGACAATAGAATCAGGCCACTGTAGCTTGATTCACGTTGACTAAGTAGGGTTTGTTGAATGTGTTTGCATGTTTGATGGTGGCTCTTTAGACAGTTTGAGCCAAATCTCTTTCTTGCTATGATGGTTCAAACTAGCTGGTTTGCTAGTCTTAACTGGTTTAAGATGGTCAGATGGTCTTCCAGCATGGCCTTTTTGGTGGTTAGCTAAAAAAAACATAAAGTCTATACTAGTTTATTGGTCTTAGCTGGCATGTCGGCTGGTATTAGTTTTTTTTTCTTTTCACTTTTCAGCTAGCCAGGCTGGATGACTAGTTGGACACCCAGATAAACTTGACCAGGCTTGGAGACTTAAAACTAGCAAACCTGCTTAGGCTGGTTTAGTAAACCTTTCCAGTAGAGTTAGCTGGTCTGTCAGCTGACTTGACAAAAGCCCAAAACCCAACTTAACCATCATCTTACTCGTCCATCTAAACCATCACTCAGAGACCAGCAAAACAGTTTAGGCTAGTTTACAAGGATAGTTCACTCAAAAGAAGAAAAATCTGTCAACATTTACTCACCCTCATGCCCTTCCAAAACTGCATATCATTTTTTCTGATGATCAAGATACTTTGAATAACAGAGGAACTGTCCATGCAACAAAAGTCAATGGTGTTCAAAACAACGACTTTCATTGCCTGGACAAAAAAAATGGTTTGAAACACGTTTGCAAATTGAGAGTGAGTAAATAATGACAGAATTAAGTGATTTTGTCTGAAATGTAACCAGAACAATGGTAAACTCATGATCTTCATTTGTATCTCTGCAGGTCGACCAACTAGCAGGTCGAACAGTCGACGTTCTCAAAATCGTGGGATTGTGGAAGAGTGTTGTTTTAACAGTTGTAACCTAGCTCTTCTAGAACAGTACTGTGCTAAACCTGCCAAGTCAGAGAGGGATGTTTCAGCCACATCCCTACAGGTCATCCCGGTGATGCCCGCATTAAAACAGGTACGTTGGTCGTGGGAAACAACAAAAACTCTCCAGCACTTTATCACGCTCACCATCTTGATCGTCCTGTTCTTTCTGCTGAACTTGTGCATACTGGCATGTGGGTTAAAGAAAACAGTGAACCAGGGTAAGGAACTAGTAAGCAAGTATTGCCCCAAAACTGCTGACCAAGTGGAAAATGATATGATTTCATACATAGGTTGAAATTTTCCTGTTGATTTGACATCACATACTTGGATTGGGTTACAAAACCAGTCTCTCAAAATGGCCTGGGATGTTTACTAGATGGTTGTACACTGGGGACAAATGGAACTGCCTTTATCCCCCTACTTATCATTCTCCATTTTGAGTTTTCATTGAGTTTTGCTCTATGTTAATATGTTTAATATATGTTTAAGAGATAGTTTGCCCAAAATTCATAATTTCCTCACCATCATGTTCTTCCAAACCTTTACGACTTTCTTCTGTGGAGCACAAAAGAAGGTATTTTAATGAATTATTCAACTATTTTTGTCCATACAAAGAAATTCAATGGGGTCCAAAACAACAGTGAACCCCACTGAGTTTCACTGTATGGACTAAAAAACAAGGAAACTATTTGGAAGAACATGAGAGTGAGTAATTCTTGGTGGTTGAAGGATTTTTGGCTATTTTTGACAAAATATCTGCAAAGTCATTTACATTTTTAGTTGAGAAGTTTGAGTTTTATAGGGGTTTGAATCTCATTTTTAGAGATCATCCAGTAGAATATGTGAGAATTCTGACCTTTCTCTAGAGTCAGTTCCTAACGTTATTGTTATTCTTGCAACAGGAGGTCCCAAGAAAACACGTGACCGTGAAATATTCCAAATATGACATGTGGCAACGAAAGGCCGCCCAGAGGCTACGGAGAGGCGTCCCCGCCATCCTGCGGGCCAAGAAGTTTAGGCGGCAGGCAGAGAGAATCAGGGCCCAAGAGCAACTGCACCACCACAGGCCTCTCATCACGCTTCCCAGCAAGCTGCCGCCCATCCTTCTTCCCACAGAAGACTATGTTAGCCACAAGTGAAACCAGGATCATTTGCACAGAGTCGATGAAAAAAAGACTAGGGGATCAAAGCTTTTTGTCTCTGACGTCATTTCTGTGGCAGTCCTCAACAACCCTTCTTCCTTCCCCATCAGACCTGCTCACACGCTCTTCCAGTTTCTATTTTTGCGGTTTCGTTCACCAACAAAAAGGCACATCACAAACCAGAGGAACACAATTCAGGTGAAGAAGCAAAGGAAAAAACGAAGAAGCCGCGGAACGCTGAACGTTTCTCCGGTTCGGAGGACATCGGAGCGCTAGGAACAGCTAGAGCTAGCATGAAAGAACCCATTCCACCGCATTCTCCCGAGACAAAAGTATCTCTCTTTTAGTCCTTTTACATATTAGTTTGCACCTGTAACTATAAAGGGACATCCACACTGTAAGGAATTGTTGTAAAATTAGATTCCTGTTCCAGCACCTTGTAATCACAAATGAAAAGCAGAGAAGAGTCTGCGAATTGCACATCGCCACGGATTACGTCAAAGTTCTTGTCAAGTAAATAAAAAGGCACTATTTTTTTATGGACTATGAACACGTAGCTCAAAAAATGTCATGGTGCTAGCTTTGGGAATGGACTCAAAGGAGAAGGGGTTGAAAAGCATGTTTTTTATTTCTTTTTCTTTGAAACTTTATTAAACTTTCCGTTTTAAGGAAAGTGTGACTTTTGAAAGAGAAAACAAGAGCACGAGGGATATCGCTGCATGCAGACATGTACGTAAGACGCGACATATGCATTGGGTCTCAGCGCTGCCGTCGCGATAAAGGAAGGAGCAGTGTGGGGACGCCGAAGGGATCATGTTCGAACGCCTGGAGGTGGAGAACATGTCTCCTTTCGAGCGTGGCTGCACAAAACCCCTGCTTTGCACTGCAGGAAGAAAGACATTGTGACCTTGAAAAAGTGGGATGTTTGTATTTTCTATGTTCTTTTTCGTGAAAATGCTTCAGAGAAAAAAAAGCCCAGTTTGGTTTCTGGTACCGTGACATTCTTGTTGTTGCAAAATAGGCTTTGTGTTTTTGTAACGTTATTTTACAGTTCTGAAAAAAAGGCACAAATATCAATTCAAAGGGAAAAAACGCAATAATGTAAACTAACATATATTTTTAACGTTTATCCGTAGTATTCACATGCTTTTGCCTGAAAACAAATACTTGAATATATATATAAATATATATGAAATAAATATGGAAATATATATTATAATTAGTTTCCAGGGACATCATGTAATATTCTTTTAGTCTGAGCTGTATCTTGCGTAATGAGCCGCCAAGCTTCTTTTTGTTCGTTTGTTTAAGTACAAATATGGGCAATGTATAAAGGCATTATTTATTTTGTTATAAAATTATATATTAAAATCGGTCTAAATACAGTAATATACATAGCACTGATGCTCAACTGATGGATTTTATTTTATATGCTCTCTTATTTTCCCATTTTACATGTAAATGCTTTTTGTAGATGCTTTGTACCAAAAAAAAAATCATTTTTTTTCCTTTTGGTTCGCCACAGAGCTATTTTAAAATCAATATTTTAACAGCAGCTGTAGCCTGGATCGCTTAGGCATGTTGTAATACAAAAATAGGCACATACTCAGAAGACTCTCTCTCTCCCTCCCGCATGGCTTTTTTAATCTGCCAAATGGATTTCTGTTTATAAAAAAACAAAAACAACTACAAAAAAAACCTTGTGTTTAACTTTCCTCACGAGGATCTGGATAACCCGGTCGCTATATGCCGTGATTGTACACAACCCCACTACAGTTTAAGCCACTTTAGTGCCGTTTTCGTAGTCGTATCGTCATTTTTTTGGCTTCTCTAAGGTAATCCACAAAAGAAAGCCATGTTTTTGGGGTTGAGAAGAGCCTGCAGGAAGATGGAGGTGTTGTGCCTGGTTCAATGTTTTCTATTGTTGCTGAGTAATTGAACTGCAGCCGTAAAGCAAAGTAAAAACAAAACCAATATGATGTCACCAAGATCCATTATGATGTCACAAAGGGTGGACTGTTTATACATCCCCTCGATCTCGCCATCTTACAAAAATATGCCCTAAATCCTCTTATTTCCTTTTGGTTGGGGTGTTTTTTCAAGTCCTCCATATATCTTCATCTCAGTTGTTGAAGGGCTACCGTACTTAGTTACCCTAATACTCAGGAAATATCAGCGGATTTATGTGAAAACTCAATACAAGGCCATTTTATTTGCAGTTTCTCAGCCAAGCACAAGAAGTCAGTATTGATTCTTGTACGTGCCCCATCTTTAAGGTCATAAAATGATACTAAAGTATCGCTTAGTACCTTGAAACTTAAAGGTCTAAGTGCCTGCAGTGTATCCCTCTGCCTTGATAATCTAATATTTATCTGATTCATATCAGTTGTGATGAAGCAGTGGAATTATTATAATTACTATCATTATTTTTATTATTCAAACATCCCATATTTCCGAAGACATTGCCATTTTTCTGTTGTTATTCCTGCAAGGACTGCATCCACTGTTGTTCTTTCCAAACTGGTTATTTAACTTTCCATGTGAAAAAGGCGTGTAAGGAAAACATCCTTTTGCGCTAAAAATTAAGGGATCTTTTGTCTTTCATTGGCAACGGTTTAATATCAGTAGCCCATGCAGCCTGTGTGTATTTTAATTGATTTAACCTCTGCACGCTAGAACGTCCGAAATGCACAATTCATGTACTTTCATTTTTAATATCAATAAAAAACATTTTATCAAACATGTTTCAGTCATGTGCAAGTGTATGTGTTTTTATTGCCTGGTTGCATTGTAAATCATTTAGTAGATGTTGAGGCCTACACAGAATTTATGTGATGCTTTTAGCATCTTTTTTTGCACTGGCTGATCTGCAGAAGTTAAAAGTGTGCCAACGGAAAAGAAAATGCACTAAAATGTGAGCAAACAGTGAACAACTGACTTGGGAGCAGATGCACAATAGGTTCACACACTACACTTTAAGAAAAAAGGTACAAAAGATGTCACTGGGGCCATACCTTTTCAAAAGGTACACTTTTGTACCCTAAAAGATGCATATTTGTACCTCAAATGTATATATTAATACATAAATTGTACTTATTAGTACCTAAATGGTACATGTTATTACCTTTTGAAATATTACCACCACAGTGACAGCTTTTGTACCTTTTTTTTCTGAAAGTGTAGGGTTTAACTCAAACTCTTGTAAACTAGCAGCATTCACTTTAACATCTCCACGTTCACATGAAATAATGATTTGTCGACGTCTCTCTGATGTCACACACTTCTATTGAAAAATAAATTGTTATCTGTGTTGAGATGTCAGAGCTTTTCCATTCTTGTTTTTTGGCAGATGCATCATCATCTTTGATATCCAAGTTTGTGCAGAATCTGATTAATCTGATTAAAAAAAGCATCTTGTACTTATTTACTACACATTTGCTCATTTGACCTAATAGTGACCAAACCTTCAATATATATTTTTAATCTTACATTATAATAATGCTTTGTAATTTTTTTCACGTTTAAATAGACTTTGAATCCCAGAACTCAAATGTTGGGCCTCTACTATATTTGCCCACCTAAATCAAGATGATCATGATGTGGTGTTTATACGACAAACCTCATTCTGTAGCTTTGCAAAGGTTAAGTGTTGGCTAGTGTTGGCGAGCCATCGCCGAACGGAGCGACAGAGCTGAGGATCTCCCTGGATCTGCAAGTAACATCAGACCAGGTGCGAGAGCCAGCTAAAACGCCCGCCATGAGGAAAAGAGCCACGGACAGAGAGATCGCGGAGAGGAGCTCCGCCCACTGCACCATGGCTGAGGGTGAGCTTATTGTGTATCTGGGACTGCTGGACTTTGAAGGGGACCTAATAGACTGGGAGGCAGATATATATGCGGACATGCCCATTCTCCTCCCTCCTTCATCGGAGCCCTCTATCACTTCTGTTCCCGATTCCAGCCCAGAGAGGTCTTCTGTTCCTGAGTGCAGCCCAGAGAGAGCTTCTGTTCCTGTTTCCACGTCCAGCCCAGAGAGGGCTGCGGTTCCCTTGTATGACCCAGGGAGGGCCACAGATCCCGAGTCTAGCCCAGGGTGGGCTCCTGTTTCCATGTCCAGCCCAGGGAGGGCTCCTGTTTCCACGTCCAGCCCAGAGAGGGCTGCGGTTCCCACGTATGGCCCCGGGAGGGCCTCAGTTCCCGAGTTCAGCCCAGAGACAGCTGCTGTTCCCGCGTCTGGCCCAGGGAGGCCCACAGATCTCTAGTCTAGCCCAAGGAGGTCCCCTGTTTCCCCGTCCAGACCAGAAAGAGACTCTGTTCCCGAGCTCAGCCAAGAGAGGGCTCCTGTTCCCAAATTCGGCCCAGAAAGGGCTTCCGTTCTCAAGATCGGCCCAGAGAGGGCTTCTGTTCCTGAGTTTAGCCCAGAGAGGGCTCCTGTTCCTAAATTACCGTATTGACCCGAATATAAGACGATGTTAAAGCCTTTTTCCAAAAGGTACATCTGGAAAAAGGGGGGTCATCTTATAATCAGGGTCGTCTTATATTCGGGCCAATACGGTAGGCCCAAAGAGGGCTCCTGTTCCTGAGTTTAGCCCCGAGAGGGCTCGTGTCCCCGAGTCCAGCACAGAGAGGTCTTCCATTCCCAACTTCGGCCCAGAGAGGGCGTTTGCTCCTGATTGCAGTCCTGAGAGCCCGGAGGCTCAAAAATGCTCGGGACTCCACTCCTCCGGCTGCGCCTCATCCCTCTGTCCCTCCGGCTTTCGGATCCCCGCCTCCACGTCAGTCGCCGGCGCCATCTGCTCCGCCTTGGCCCTCCAGATCCTCCCCATAGCCCTGGCTCATCGGCTCTCCATCTCTGCCTCGGGCTCCTCCGCCACCTGCTCCGCTGCCATCGGTCAGCCCCCTGGAGTTGTCAGCCCTTCCTCCACCATGGCTCCTCCCTCTGTCGGCTCCACCATGGGTCGTCTTTACGGCTGTGGCCTGGGTCCCACCTGGCTCTGCCTGCTCCAAGCCCCTCCTGTCTCCATCTGGTCTGCCCTGGATCCTCCTGTCTCTTCCCTGGCTCCACCCCCTGTCGGCTCCACCATGGACTCTGTCTGCCAGCCCCCTCCCGGGTGCCCGTCCTCCTCCCAAGCCTCCTCCCAAGTTCCCACCCGTCCCTCCCTCTGTTGTTTCTACGGCGCGAGGACGCGCCTTCCGGGAGGGGGGCGATATGTCACGCTTATGAACCTGTTTTGTGTGTTTTCTCCCCATGTGCTCCCCGTGTCCCAGGTTTCTCCCTCTCATTGATTAGTCATTTGGTGCAGATGTGTCTTGTCAATTACCCTCATTTAGTTATGTATTTAAGTCCCGGTCCGTGCTGTCTGTCTTTTTTCTGGTCTACAACGTCATGTTCTTGTGTCAACAGCCTTTCCCTGTGTGAGTTACCCTGCATACTGGATTCTATTAAAGACTGTTCCTTGATCCACGTCTCCATCATTCCTTCCGACACAGAGTGTGACATCTTTATTGCACAAAATCATTTATTACACTGAATGTAATCTTTTAAAGGATTATTTCACCTGAGACAGACAGTTCTGTCATTATTTACTCATCCTCATGTGTCATTCCAAACCCGTATGCTTTTATTTTTCCATTCAACACAAACATGGAAATACATTTCATAATGTTGGTTATGACACCAAACCAATTCCATTTTGTCATTACAGCATAATACAGCACAATATAAACTGGGTCACCATGATTTTGCCAAGTAAGACATGTTCCTGGATCAACAGTTTTGAACATTATTGTCCAAAACATAGACCTAACCTTTCCCTACCCCTAAACCTAACCCTACCCATAATTTATTCCTAAAATCAGAAGGAAATGATAGTTGAATTACAAGGGTGTAGAAGCACCTAACTCTGGTTGTAAGGCTAAAACTGACATTTCCTGTAAACTTGTCCCTCAATTCTGATTGGTTGCTTAGAATGTTGCTCCAGGATCAACAAGGATGTTGATTCAGAAACATTCTGCACTTGGTGAAGTCACAATCACCTATAAATCACTAGTTTGATCGCTATAAACTGCTGGCAAAAGCTATCTAAAGGAGTGGTCACATTAGGAAAACTGCGGTGAAATTTTACAGGCAAAAAAGGTCCATTATCTATTGTTAATAGTGTAGAGATGTATGAAGCGCAGCTCACAAAGAAGTCACTTTCAAACCAACTGTTAAAACCAACTGATCCATATGTGAAACTGTGTGGGGAAATTGTTTGATGAAATTCCAGATAACATGGATTCCTCTTGAAAAGGGGAGATGTTTTTAGCTTTTGTGTGCCACAAAAAAAATAATGTAAAAAACAGAATGACATGAAGGTGAAAACTTAACTTATATAATAGGGCTAGATGTTGCAATCCCAAATGATTAAGTCTAGTACCTGTCTTGGGTGGGTTTTGAGGCATCAACTTAGCTGGGGGGTTTCGTTGGTGACCACTTAGTGATGTTAGTGATGAGG